ATTGCCCATTGTGGGGTATTGACATGGGGAATGGACTGGTGGTCTTATAGACAGCAAAAGGTTTTAACCATGGATCATGGACCAGGGAATGATGATGCTGATGCATTAGCATGAATATGGTGGCTTGAAGATGCACTGGCCTCAGGTGTGGCATAATGGTTGCATCCTAGATTACAACATGCTGGGCCCCACAACATGTGGGTGGTTGTTAAGCAATGGGGTTTACCCCTGACCTATGTAGATGTTGTATCTAAAGGAGGCTGTGTGGCTTTTTCCAAACAGGACCCCTGGTGCATACCACAGGCAGATGGTGCCATGACACGGGCCTCTGACTCCTGGCAAGGTGGCAAATTGACTATATTGGACCACTCCCCCTTTCACAAAGGAATTGGTGTGTTTTGACATGTGTTGACCCAGCTACTGGACTGTTAGTGGGATTTCCCACCCAGTATGATGATCAAGCCCATACAAAGAGGGGACTGGAGCAATTGTTGACTGCATATGGGAGCCCTGAAGTGGTGGAAAGTGACCAGGCACTCACTTTTCTGGTCACGCTATACAATCCTGGGTGAAAGACCAGGACATAGACTAGTGCTTCCATACAGCCTATGGTCTGCAAGGGGCTGGCATCATAGAACCATACAATGGGCTCCTGAAGCAGACTCTGAAGGTGGAACAAGGAACTATGAAAGAGTGGGCCACTCATATATGGAGCCCTTAATGAATGGCCTCAGTGAGGACAGGTGGCCCCACTAGATGCCCTTTTGCACTATGCTTCCTCCCCAATACAGCTGCAAGTACAGACTAAAGATGAGTTTTTGAAATCAGGTTGGGACAGCAAAACAGTATCCTTTTGCCAGCACCTACTGTGCTGAACCCAGGAGATACAAAGGTGTGGACATGGACATGGAATTTCAAATAGGCCATTGCTGATTGGCTGGCTCTGTTGGCCCCTTGTGGGGCAGGACTACAAGCACGACTTCTTTGTGTGCCATGTGTGATGGCCCTGTGGCCGCCAGCCCTGACAGTGGTATACCTGCGCCCAGAAGAGGGGAAAGCTATTTTTTGGGGACATTTGTACAGACTCTGTAGATTTACCACATACCCCCTGTGGCTCTCCACATTGACCCCTCTCTAACCCCTACTGGGCAAGAGATGAAAGTCTGGTGAACAAACCAGGCCAGAACCCTATTCCAGCAGTGTGTTGTCACAAGATAAATCACTCTCATGTATACTTCCTGATGGTCAGGATTTACCTTTGTTAGTGACTTTGTGCTATTTTTCTTATCATCCTTAAGGTACAGAGAGCCCAACTGCAATTGTTCACTGACTGGTCCCACAGGCTGGCTGGGGTGGCCAATATGTCAGCTTGTTGGGTCTGCACTGAGATCCCAACTAGTATGGCACTTGTGTTGCCATGGAGAATTCATCCATGGAACTCTACTGATCCAGAGGGATGGAAGGATAAGACAATCCATCCCATGAGCCACATTATCAGGGAATAGGTTAACCAAACTTGTCCCCCTTTAGATTACTCAGTATGAGATGGATGGGGTGTACCACTGCCTCTGTGGTAGAGCTGATCGTCCCTGCTGAGAAATGTGTGGAATATACTGACAGGCCAGATACGAGGGGAACGGGATGAACACCTATGCCCCAATGTCACATCATAAAGGTTATCAGCACTGTGAATACAACGAATCCAGAAGACCAATGGTACCAAAACCCAAGTATTAAATTAAAACTAGTGCCCGTGTACTTTGTAGTCCTCTAGCCTCCTCCTGGGCTGTCACTTCTTGTCCTGTTCCTGGCTTGGTACACAGGTGAGCCGGCTCTGATTTCTAGGCACTGGCTCTCCTGTCCCTCTAGGACGTGAGAGGATGTTCAATTCTAGCCCTCCCCTGCTTCCTGCACTGTTAGAGAAAGAAGATAGAAGAGGCAAAGATCTGACACATGCAGCAGTAGTCAAAACAGCCAGTGATCATGTATGCTATTTATCTTCCAATTAGGATCTATCCAACTCTCCCTGGAGTTTCATATTGTCACATATGTTCTGTGTCCAATTACACACAAAGAAGATCTAGTGCTCATGAAATCCTCATCTGCTGGGATAAATGGTGGTGTGTACAGGGGTTTGGTAAGAGGTTAGGAAGTTTGATTTGATGTGAGACCAAATAAAAATGAGTCCTTTCAATCACTGACTGCCCCTGTCACAGCATTGCTCTCGGGGGAGGACATGGGTGTCACCACAGTCTCTGCCCTCTCTCCTGGCCTCACTCCAGTTAAGGAGACCAAACTACATTGGAGTGCGTCCTGGTCCCCAGACAAGTCTCCCCAGGGAACCAAAGGTCTTATGCCTCTTTCATTCTCCAGTGGCCCCATGGAAGGGCTTCTTATAATCTGAGACTTTTGGACTGTGGAAATCAAGTCACCCTAATGCCCAGGGGCTTAAATCCATGAGATGCCAATGCACCAATGAGATGGGCAGTAGTGGCAGCTGCCACAATGTGGGCATTACAAAAACTAATTTGTTGAAGCAGCTTAAGGGATTGGATCAGATCCAGGGATGGCGCCACTCCCATAGTACTGCCCACATCCTAGCTTTCACAGTTGGCCAGGGGGCTGTCTCTAACACAATCTACTCCCCCCCGTTTTGGCACCATCTTAGTGGGTGACACAAGTCCCATGGTGTGTGAAATAGACAGGTGTTGTTATAGGAGTTGCTGAATGCCAGAGTCCTCAGGCAAACCTCTCAGTTCAACAGTCCTATTGGGACATCATGGAAGGACAGTGGCACTTGGAGACTGACCACAGGTGACCTCAGCCTGAAAGAAGAAGTTGATTTGATGGCTCTGGTTGTCCCTGAACTTGTGACTATTAAAGAGGTACTGGTGTCCATGCTCAGAGACTGGTATGTGGTGAATAATTTGGCTCTGCTTTCTTCTCAGGTCCTAGTCAGATAGGAGACTAGGACAGTAGACTAGTGGCCTTCACCTGACCAGGCAACTGGTCTTTTATGGTCCTATGACCTGGCCAGCTTAACTGTCCTGTCAGTTACCCCCAAGGGTGGCATGGACTCTAACTAAATATAAGCTTCCTCCAAAAGTGAAGGCAATCCATTATTTATGACCTCCTGTTGGTATGCCCTAATCAGGAAGCTGAGATCCTATCCTTTAACATATGAATTTACTAATTAAGCTATGATGCTTGGGCCACTAACCCAGACAAAATTCAGGTAACCCTGCCCCTGGACCTCCTTCTGGCTGATGATAATACCCTACTGCAAGTATCTATTAATGACACCAATGCAATGTGTCATCTATGGCCACAAGATGAAGCCAGAGTGCACTTGCTCTTAGGGTGCCAGACCCCAGCACTGAATGGAACCATGTCGAGCTATACCTCATTTGAAAAAAAACAACTCCTTTCTTGATCCTAGACTCTAGTGGAAACTGAAAGGCTGACTGGAGACATTCCAGGTACTCTTTGGCCAAAAATTCCAATCTTTCAATGGGTGCTGACTAGTGCCAAATCCCTTCAGGCAGGTAGAGCCCAAGAATCATCCATCATCAAATGGAAGTGTCATATTCAGAGCTAAGCCAAGCCAGACACAAGGGGAGTTAGCCACCTATTTGAGACCCTTGCTTAGCAATAGGCTGCCACAGAAGCTAGTCTTCATGGACCTCCAGTGAAAGCCCTCTTACAACCCGGGACCCTTGGTTTTCTGAGCTCCCAGAAGCAGGAGGTGCTTGGTTCTCAGATGGTACAGACCTCCTTAAACATGGTCAAACTCATTGGAATGCCACAGCAGTACAGTCAGCTGACAGGTCCATCTACTGTGCCCATGGCACCACCCAGTCCACTCAAGGACAGAACTCCAGATAGCTCTCCTGCTGCTTGAGTCGTCCACCACAAAAGAGATATTTCTCTTCACTCATTCCTGTGCAATAGCTGATGGTCTTGTTGTGTGGTCAGACCAGTGACAGGCTACCAACTGGATGGCAAATTCATCACCTCTTTGGGGAACCTCACTGTATTGAAGTATCTCCTTCAAGCTCAACAGCTGGACACTCTACATGACTCATGTCTGCCCACAAGAAACGACCATTCCCAGAAGAATATACTGGAATAGGCAAGTTGACCAGGACTGTGAAGCTCCAATACTTCTTGTCATTTCCTACTTGGCTGCTTTCCTGGACTTCATGATCTCCAAAACCTCATCATTTCATCACAAAATGAAATCAGTTGGGAAACTTGCACCTCCTCAGCATCTCCTGCCCCTGGGGCTCCTGTCTTCCTCTGGTTGGAAAGGATAGTGGGGTGGATATCTAGGAGCTCCACCCAGATCCTCCAGCATTTAAGGAGGGCACCTAGAGAATTCACCTAATCATTTCCAACCCACTGTTTTCCTGGGCTTCATGATCTCCTAATACTCATCGATCCTTAAGATGAAATCTATTCAGAAACTCTTCATTCTTCACATCATTTCCCACCTCACTGTAGCACTTGAGAGCATGTTTCCCCACCAGGTAACCTCCTCCACAACCTCCTTTTCCATTTCTTTTTATATGTTGTCTTCCCCCATTAGGTTGTGAGTGCCTTGAGGGCAGGGACTGTCTTATGCTTTTCTCTAAGCAGATAAGCACCTGGCACATAGTAGGTGCTGAATGAAAGTTTATTGAATTTTGGTCCATGGTAATGTGAAAACTATGCAGCAGAGGACCCATAAGAGAAGCCTCTATATCACCCATGAGGACTGTGGTGCCCATCCACAAAGACTGTGAAACTTGTCAGCTCCAATGCCACATACAAAAGCCCTTACTAGTAAGACACCAAAAAGGATGTAGCCAGCACCCCCCTGGACAATGGACTCTATAGGACTGGGGCCACAATAAAGAGGTCTCTGGTATACTCTGATGGCTGTCGGCACCTATCAAGGGCATTGGCTGAGGAGGGGTCAGTGCCACACTAACAGCCTGAGCTGGTACTGAGTGTAGACAATGGCACAAGTTTCATGTCAGCAGCCACTCAAACATGAGCAAAACCATAAGATATATCACATGTCTATTTCATGTCCCACCTCACTCATAAGTAGTAAGGACTGTGGAATGATGCAAGAGGCTGCTCAAATCGACCATAAAGACGGTAGGCCCTAAGCAAAGTCTGAAATGCTGAATCAACAGGCTTCCAAGAGCAGTCTTCCACCTCAACAATGCAATGCCAAGAAACAGACAGTTGGTTACCTCTCTCTTTTCTCCTTGGAAACCCTGTGTCAGAGGATGAAAAGGAGGCAAAGAACATATCAAGCCAATACTGGAACTCATAGACCAGATAACAGATGTTTTTGGTTGTATAAATCCACATCCAGACATCACTTTCTTTTTTCCACCACAAGTTGAGAAAATGGGAGTTGCAGCTTCTTTATGGCAGGCTCCACAAATACACGGGTGCCAACAACAACTAAGATGCCTTAAGCCCTTGCAGTCATTTTCTTACAATTGCTCATATGGGAAAGGTGTTGACAGTATTTTCTCTCCCCAAAATCATTCATTTCCCCCCAAGAACCTAAACTGCAACCAGAGGAACTCACAGGGAGCAGAGAGCTAGTTAGGAAATTACTCTGTCCTTGTTCATCCACCCAGAGAGGTGAATGGAGAAATGTAGTGGAAAGATACAGGGAGTGAAAGGTGGATTCCTAAGGAGAAAGTGGCTCAGGGGATAGACAATATACTGTAGCTAATGAAAAAAAAAGAGAGGAGATGTTTATATTAGCAGGACAGGAAGCCACTGGAACCTGTATACCAGAGACAGATGAGGAATTGGGGCAGAGGAGAAGGAGATTATCATTAATTATCCGTTTGATTAACAGATCAATTATACTGATTCATTAATAATGCCTGGGTCCTACTCTTTCTCTTGATGATTTCCTTGATTTCTCTGGTTTGTGACCAGTTCCATTAATTCACCACTGTCCCTTCACTTTACCATGAAGTTAGTATTGAGGATATGAGTACTCCTGGGGCAGCCCTGGTCTGAGGCCTCCAGGGAGCTCTACCACAAAACTAGAATACGTTAGTGAGGCTGACCCAGGTGGTTGCCTCAGCAGGGAACCTTGTGGTATGCTGGGTTTCTGACCCAGGAATACCTGATGGACAGATGCAAGGTTTACCATTTAACTTCACTCAGGGGGGCTCATCTCCACACACATACCCCCAACCCCCACCCTTCTATCAGAGGAATATTTCACCTGCCGTTTATGATTTCTGAGTGAAGAGTCAAACAAGATTTCAGCCCACCACCTGATGACTGGCCAATAAGGCAACTCCCCTGAAGTGGAAAGAGCAGTTTTGGACACAATATTAACCAAAGAACCCTTGGTTCAGATTCATAAAAACCTGGTTACCAAATTGAAACCTCATCAAATAGATGGTAAGTATATATTGATATATTTAAAATACAGTTTTAAATTACTTGTTTGCATAATTCTTTTTCAGTTGTTTTCACATTTAATTTATACTTTGCATGCTTTGGTAAAAGGGAAATGTCTGTGGGATGTGTGTGTAGTATGTCTTGTTTTGCATTTGAAGCATTTGAAAATTATTGGAGCTATTAAACACAGTCATTTAAATTTCTTTAAATAAACATATATGTGAAACAAATGATAGAAATTATCTTTAGCAAGTACGAATTTAATAATTTTTTTAAACTTAAACTCACCAAAAATATGTTATATATTCAACATGTGCAAAGGCCTGGAGACTCAGAGAATAGGAACATAGTTCTTGTCCTATTCCATAGTTCTTGTTAAAAATTAGAAATTTTCATTTAAACAAATTACATGAAGTTTAAGGTTCTTTTATTAATTTGTTTTACATAGGTGTTCAGTTTATGTGGGATTGCTGTTGTGAATCTGTAATACAAAGAAAGAAATCACCAGGCTCAGGATGCATTCTTGCCCACTGTATGGGTCTTGGAAAGACACTACAGGTAAGATACCATAAAAATCCGGGATGAGTCATATATTGTTATCTTATTATCTTGAAATTTAATATGGCACATATTAAACTTCCTAAAACATTTTGTACTTTTTGCTGATTCAGAGTTATGGCTATTCCTTTCTTAATGACCAAGACTTTCACCGGGCGATTATTCTGAGTCCTTACTTGCCCATCTTCATTGATAATGAGCCAAATAGCATCCTGGCTTCCGTAATTATTACCCTATTCAATTCTCATGACCACTGTCTCCAATCTATTTAAAAGAATGTAGATTTTAGATTTTACTCCTCTTGAATCCTATTTTCATTTTGTATATATTTAAAGATTATCATGTGGACATGTCTCTTGCTGTATCCCCTTGAGAATGTAAAGCTTTTGAAAGGTAGGAACTTTTGGTAGGCTTGAGAATACAAAGAAAAGAAAGAGACAGTTCTTGCCCTACAGAGCTCATAGTCTAATGGAAGAAACAATTGAATTAGATAAAAACATGTATTTGGTAAATTTGGGGTAATCTATAGAGAGGATGGTACTAGCTTTAAGAGACTTCAAGGAAGCCAGGAAAGCCAGGGACAGAGATGAAAAGAGAGCATTCACAGTATGGCGAACAACCAGAAAAAATTCCTGGAGAAGAGAAATGAAGTGTGTTGTGGGAGAAAGAACAAGGAAGAGAAGACTGAAAGATGTAGAGGGACCAGGTTATGAAGCTTTTGAATGCCGATCAGAAAATTTTATATTTCATCATCCATAAGATAGGAAACCACTGAAATTTATTGCCAAGAGAAACGACGTGGGTAGACTTGAAGTTTAGGAAAAACACTTAGATAGCTGAGTAGTACTTAGTAAATATTGATAATGATTATGATAATTTATATAAAATAAATGGAAGGTGATTTTGTCTTAAAGGCACTAAAAGCTGAGAAAATCAATGGAGCATATTTCAGGTGCTAGGAACAAACTATAAAGAGACAGGGATGAGATGAAATGTTCATTGAGGAATAAAAGACTGGTTATTTTAGCTAAGTCACAGAGTATGGCAAAGTGAATCATCTTTGTTAAGATAGAAAGGATCAAGGTTATGAAGAACTTTAAAGACAAAGGAATAACATAAACATCTGGGTTTATTTATTTATATAGTCAGAGGGCTATCATTTAGTAAAAATCACTTGGGGAGTCAGTGTGGAGAATGTATTGGAGTGAAGATAGATTTGAAGGAAGAGGGCAATTATGAGACAGTTACAAATTAGAGACGATGAAGCTGCAAAGATTTCTACCCCCCACCCCTGAAACTACCAGTTTTCTGCTTTCCTTCTAACGTTAACTACAGTAGTTTTGTTCAGAAGCTGTTTAAATTTTATGTAATCAAAATTATCCATTGTACTGCCTGTGAATCTCTATATTCATTTGGTCATAAATTTTTCCCCATCCATAAATTTCTCAGGTAAATTTCCTCAGTCTTCATTAATTTGCTTATGATATTACTGTTTGCTGTTTAGTCTTCTCCCCCCCCCCAAATTGTGTCCAACTCTTCATGACCCATTTGGGATTTTTTTGGTTTCCCATTTCCTTTTCCAGCTTATTTTGTAAATAAGGAAGCTGACGCAGAAAGGGTGAAGTGACTTACACAGCTAAGTGTAAGTGTCTGAGGCCAGGTTTGAACTCAGGAAGATGAGTCCTGACCCAGTGCTCTGTGTACTGTGCGCAATTAGCTGCCTTGTGTTTTGGAACATCAACATTCTTTTCCAGGCAGCCCTTCACACTTTCTTCCCTTTCAGTTCCTCTTTGTTTGTTGTCTTCTCTTATTAGAATGTATACTCCTGTAGGCCAAGGACTGTCTTTCTGTTTATATTTCTGGCACTTAGTACATAGTAGGCCTTAGTAAATGCTTGTTAATTGACTAAGAGGGGAAATTAGGGAATTGTTGACTTTAATGCATATTTGGTCATGGTAGGAGAATTTCTGGCATTATTTTCTTTTTTGGTGAGGCAATTGGGGTTAAGTGACTTGCCCAGGGTCACACAGCTTGTAAGTATAAAGTGTCTGCGGTTGGATTTGAACTCAGGAGCTCCTGATTCCAAGGCTGGTGCTCTATCCACTGCGCCACCTAGCTGCCCCACGGCATTACTTTCTTATAGCCATTTATGAGCAGTTTGCATAACTAATATACTGTTTTACCTGTTATCAGAGATAATTTTCCCCTTCTGCCATCTATTTTTTGATGTTTAAATACTTACCTTCCCTTTTTGCTTTCTCTAAAACTCCCTTTAATCCATCCTGTGTTTGTAAACTAAAGTTTATATAAGGTTGTTGAAACTGGATTCATTGATTTTTATATACAGAAAGTGGCTAGAGCATAACAAACAGGTTTTTGTTATATCTATGTGATGTTGATTATTATTGGCAGCAGTCCGTATCAGCAGATCTTTGGAAAACTATTGTGACATGAACATAACTAAGGATGGGGGGAAAAAAGTTAGAAAACATGGGTCAGGGGTAGGAAATGAAAAAGATCAAAGACTGCTACATAATACAGAAGTTTTCTACCTGTTATGGTGGAATCAATAACCTAAACCCTTCTTGCAGCAGGCGATGCTATTTTTTCTTTTTTCTTTCTTTCTTTTTTTGGATAGGCAGTGGGATTAAGTGACTTGCCCAAGGTCACACAGCTAGTAAGTGTCAAGTGTCTGAGGTCATATTTGAACTCAGGTCCTCCTGACTCCTGGGCTGGTGCTCTATCCACTGTGCCACCTAGCTGCCCCTGAGGCTTTTTTTTCTTTAAAAGATACTGAAACTTTGTGAAGACTTCATTGATGCTACAATCAGAGGTCTTAGTTGAATCACTTCCTTTTTTGCCTGAGTAACCAGGCTATTGCTAAGTAATACCTCTTCTTTTTTAAAAATTCTTTAGCAATTTATTAATTTTTAGTTTTCAACATTCACCCCATAAGATTTTGAATTTTAAATTCTCTCTCTCCCTCTCCCCCTCCACCAAGATGATGTGCAATCAGATATAGGCTTGCAAGCTTGTAGAGGCTCTACTTATACATTCATATTAAGCCTATTTTCACATTAGTCATGATGTAAAGAAGACTTAGAACTAAGGGGAGAAACCAGGAGAAAGAAGAAACAAAACAACAAAAGAAAAGGAGAGCAGATAGTCTGCTTCCATCTGCATTCAGACTCCATAGTTCTTTCCCTGGATATGAATAGCATTTTCCACTGTAAGTCTTTTGGAGTTGTCTTAGATCCTTGTATTGCTGTCAAAGTTAGCCATCACATAATGTTACTGTTGCTGTGTATGATGTTCTCCCAGTTCTACTCATTTTACTCAGCATCAGTTCAATATGATATCAGGTTAATATGCACTTTAAAGAAACAAAGTGCATAGAATGGAGGTTTGTGGTTTGATATATAATCCTTGTTTTGTTTTTGCTTGTATTTGTATTCTTTTTTAAAAATTTTATTAATTTATTTTATCAGTAATCACTTCTATATGCTTTTGAGTTTAAAATTTTTCTCCCTCTTCCTCCCTACCACCCTCCCCAAGACAGCACACAATCTGATATAGGCTATACATTTACATTCCTATTAAACGTATGTTCACATTAGCGGTGTAAGTAAAAATTAAAACCAATAGGAGGAACCATCAGAAAGAGGAAACAAAACTCAACAGAAGAGGAAAAAATGGCAATTCAACTTCCATAGTTCTTTCTTTGGATGTGGATAGCATTTTCCATCACGAGGTCTCTGGAGATGTTTTCGATCCTTGTATTGCTGGGAAGGGTTAAGTTTATCAATATTAGTCATCGTGCAACATGGCTGTTCTCTTGGTTCTGCTCATTTCTCTCAGCATCAGACCATACAAGTCTTTCCAGATTTTTCTGAAGTCAGCCTGTTCATCATTTCTTATTCATTGTATTTGTATACCTTGATGACTAATAAACCCATAATATTTTTTTTAAAAAAAGATTAATGAGTTATTTAAAACCTCCCTTGCTAAACTCTTTGAGGAGCTAGGTATCCCCTGGCCCAAAGCCCTTCCATTTGGTTCCCATAAACTCAGTCCCTATGAGATCATAACAGGATACCTGATGCCACTCTCCCCATGGGTGGGAAACATAACAGCCAAAGGCTCCCTCTTATAATTCTGCATTGGATTGGCTCAGAAGATATCAGAAATTTACCATATTCCCATTTTGTTAGAGGAGAAATTAAATGAGTTACAGGAAGAAATAGACAGAAAATTTATACTAATGGGAGAACTCAATCTCCTTCTCTCAGAACTACATAAATTTAACCATAAAATAAACAAGAAAGAAATTAAGGAGATGAATAGAATTTTAGAAAAGTTAGATGTGACCTCTGGAGAAGACTGAATAGGCATAGAAAGGAATATACTATTTTTTTGGCGGTACATGGCACGTACACGAAAATTAACCATGTACTAAAGGCATAAAAACCTCACAATCCAATGCAGAAAAGCAAAACTATTAAATACATCTTTTTCAGATCATGATGCAATAAAATTACAAGTAATAAAGGGCCATGGAAAAATAGACTGAAAATTAATTGGAAACTAAGTAATCTATCCTAAAGAATGAGTGGGTCAAACAACAAATCGTAGAAACAATCAATAACTTCATCCAAGAGAATGACAATAATGAGACAACATATCAAAATTTTTGAGATGCACTGAAAGTGGTTCTTAGAGGAAGTTTTATATCTCTCAATACTTACGTGAATAAAATGGAGAAAGAAGAGATCGATAAGTTGGTCATGCAACTGAAAAAAAAACTAGAAAAACAACAAATTAAAAGTCTCCAATTAAGTACCAAATTGGAAATTTTGAAAACCAAAGGAGAGATTAACAAAATTGAAACTAAGAAAACTATTGAACTAATAAATAAAACTATGAGCTGATTTCATGAAAAAACCAATAAAATAGATAAACCTTTAGTTAATTTGATTAAAAAAGAGAAAAAGAAGAAAGCCAAATAAATTACCAGTATCAAAAAAGAAAAGGGTGAATTCAGAACCAGTGAGGAGGAAATTAAAACAATAACCAGGAACTATTTTTGCCTGTGTGCAAATAAGTTTGACAATCTTCGTGAAGTGGATAGTTACAAAAATATAAATTGCTGGGGCAGCTAGATGGCGCAATAGCTAGAGCACCGGCCCTGTAGTCTGGAGGATATGAATTCAAACGTGGTGTCAAACACATAACACTTACTAGCTGTGTGACCCTGGACAAGTCACCTAACCCCATTGCCTAGCCAATATATATATATATATATATATGTGCACATATGTATATGCACATACATACATATACACACATACGTGTATGCATGTATGTGTATGTATATGTATATTTATATATTTATATATATGTGTATATATATATATATATATGTATATATACATATATAAAAAATACACATACATTGCCAAGATTAATGGAAAAGAAAATAAAATACTTAGCCACATTTCAGAAAAAGAAATTTACAGGGGAATTCTATCAAATTTTTAAAGAATAGCTAATTCCAATACTATATAAAGTATTTGGGAAAAAAGGTGAAGGAGTCCTAGCAAATTCTTTTCAAGTAATGCCTTTTCTAAGTATATCCTCAAGTAGCAGAGACTTGCTAAACTTGATAGTCTGATATTCGTTGTGAGAACTCTCCAACTCTGGTGAGGGAATCTTACTCTTTATCCTGTGTTATGACCTTATTGAAAGAGTTAAAAGCGTTTCACTCAATTTCAGTAATGAATCTAAAACACAGGGGATTGGCCTGAATTAGGTCAAATTCAAAACATGAATACTTTAAGGAAATTAAATTAATTAGAATGTCAATGTATATGTTGAGTACCAAATAATAGCACAAAGAAAATTGATTCTGTTTTATAAATTAGAAATCACGGATGGAAATGGTTTGTGAATCATGTGTGTATATTCTGACCACTAGTTTGTCAGAGTAAGAAAATAATATGTGAAACTGAATCAATTCCACCTTACTTTTTTAAACAAGCTTTTACAAAAAGTCAAGCAGAATAAAGAATGAACTTTCAATGATATTATAACAATTTCTAAAGTAGTTTAAAAATTATGGATTTCAGTTATGTGTATTTCATCCTGTAACTAAGAATGCTTGATTTTTTTTTTAGGTGGTCACTTTTCTTCATACAGTTCTCTTATGTGACAAATTGAACTTTACTACAGCTTTAGTGGTTTGCCCCCTTAATACTGCCCTCAACTGGATAAATGAATTTAAGAAATGGCAAGAGGGATTAGAAGATGACAAAAAACTTAAGGTGCCATAATTTTTTTTTAATTTTTAGATTTTTAAAAACAGTATTTAGCATGTATTTTAAATATATATATTTAATACATAATTTAGGATTTTTAATTGAAGGAAATTGAGTAATATTTTACTGAAACATTTTGGTATTAGTATTCTTTAAGATTAAAAATATCTGTTGATATTTGATATGCATTTTACCAAGGTATCTGAATTAGCAACCATGAAAAGCCCTCAAGATCGAAGTATTTTACTACAAAAATGGCAAGACAGTGGTGGTGTCATGGTCATCGGCTACGAAATGTACCGAAATCTTGTACAAGGACGGAATGTGAAGAGTAAAAAATTAAAAACAGTATTTAATAAAACTCTTGTTGATCCAGGTAAAATAATGTATTTAATACTGAAACTTAAAGTCATATTTCGATTTTATATTTTTGCTAATATTTATTGAACATCCAAAGTAGTGTTGGAGAGGAAAGGAAAGGTATAGAAAAGGAAAATTATAAATTTTGAATTGGATAGAACATCAGAAGTCATCTGTGTCAGCACTCATGTTAGAGATATGGACTATAGCACTTAAGAATAAGAATTAATTTTGCAAAGTGCTTTTTTTCTCATTTAGCTTTCTCAGCAAACTTTTGAGATAGGTGTAATTATTATCTCTATTTAATAATTAAGAAAACCGAGTCTGAGAGAAGTCAAGTGACTTACCCAGGGCCATGGAACTGAGGCAGGATTGAAAGCCAGTTCTTCCTTCATCCAAGTTCAGCACTCTATGCACTATACCACATAGGCTTAAGACACTTTTTATTTTCATTCTTTCTGTTTATTTCTATTATATGCCAGGTGTAGGGAGAGGTGCTCAGAATATAAAGCTACATATATATTAACATATATATAGTTTCTGCTTTAAGGGCTTTTATCCTAATTTACATATTATTGCTATTTTATTCTAATTTACATATTTATCATTTAAATAGATAAATAAGTTCCAGAGGTTAATATTTTCTTTGAGATTCAGAGTCACAACCTGTGCTTTAGGAAAGTCCCTTTGACAAATTTGTGGAGGATACATTGTAATACTAAGAGATTTGTGGCTGGAAAACCAATTAGAAACTATTAGTATAGTTCAGAGAAAAATCAGCAGGAATGACTTTGTCCTCACTTGAAAGAAGAAGTTCAGAGAAAAGGAAAACTGTCATTTGTTGGCATAGGTATGAAATAAAACTGGTCTTCACTTGATAACTAAGCAGGTGATATGAAAAGGTCTCACAAAATATCAATACAAACATGGAAAGTGTTTGTAATTAATAATAAAATTTGTGAAAAATAGTTTAAAAAGTCAGTGGTGGTGATGCTATGTAAATTCATACACTTTATACTAATAGTATATGTGTAAATTGGTCCAGCAGTTCAGGAACATAATTTGGAATTGTGTACAATAGAAAGGTTTCTGAATTTTTAATGCTGCTTGACCCAGTTATGTGCTCCCAAGGAAGTCAGAGACAGAAAGAAAAACATACATTCCACAATATTAATATCAACACCTGTTGTATTGGGGGGAGGGGGAAGACAGCAAAAAAAAAAAAAGCCATTGGTTAATATTTGGAGACTGTTTCAGCCAGTTGTGATTTTTGAATGAATTGGAATATTTTACAATAATTTATATTTTTACAATAATTGATGTATAAATATATACTATATTTTACAATATAAAAAAAATTGAAGAATTCAGAGAATGGAACAGATGGTATGCCAACCAATTGGCAAAGTAAATAGAACCAGTAAAATAATCTGTCCATTGCTATAAATAAGTAAATGCAAAGTGCAATGACAGATACTGATTCAAGTGGACAAATGATGAGACAGGCACATATCCTTCCTCTATGTAGAGAGGTGGGGATTAAGGAAAAGAATACTCATATGATAGATGACTTTGCAATTTTTTTCTGTTTTCAGGCATGATTTTTTTGTGGATGATTGAATAGATCAGAAAATGTGGTACAAAAATTAAAAGATACCTTTAAAAAATGAAACAACAAACTTTAAATGACATGTTCTTGGTTAGATAATGCATAAGCCTTAGTTAAGATATTCTTACTTTTAATCCATTGATATTTCTGCTCATTTGGCAAATGTGGCTCTCTAGCATAGCTTTTCAATATTTAAGCATTGCTCCATTGTGCAGTTGATCTTAGATAAGCATTAGTTGATACAAATTTTGTGAGAGTTAAATAATAGTAAAAAATTTTTTGGTAGGCCCGGATTTTGTTGTGTGTGATGAAGGTCATATACTAAAAAATGAAGCTTCAGCTGTATCCAAAGCTATGAATTTGATTCGTTCAAAAAGACGAATTATTTTAACAGGAACACCTCTACAAAATAATCTAATTGAATGTAAGTTACTGTCCTCTTTTGAGTTATTTTGAGCTATTTTTTCAGCATGGATATGATTTATGTTCCTAATCTCTTTACCTACAGTCTTTTTAGAATTTTTTTCTTTTATTTATTAACTTGTCTGAATTATTTCAATTATTATAACATTTATTTCTGTTAAAATTTGTCTTAAATTATGTCTTTGTGTTTTAAAAATATTACTAAAGTTTTACTTATCATTAAATTTTCTGAACTATTTCTAAAAAATGTGCTTACCAACATCTTCAAATATAGTTGGATTGTTAAATAATTATTTGGCAAGTGCTAATTGAATTATCACATTTCATCAGATCTCATTTATTTAAAAAAACTTTGTTCATCATTATTGCATTAATGATATAAAATTGGTTGAATAAAATGTGATATATTTGCAATGACAATTTATTTTTCTTCTCTTAGATCACTGTATGGTTAATTTTGTCAAAGAGAATCTTCTTGGTTCTGTTACGGAATTTAGGAATCGATTCATAAATCCAATTCAAAATGGCCAGTGTGCAGATTCCACCACGACAAATGTTCAAGTAATGAAAAAGCGTGCCCATATTCTCTATGAAATGTTAGCTGGCTGTGTTCAGGTAGATGTAAAATATATATTCATCTATACTCAGTCAGTTTTAGTTGAAAAATCTGTAATTTTGCTTGAAACCTCTTCATGATATGTTGTTACATTTGAAGTATAAAGTAAGAAAGGCAAAGGTCCAAGCATGATCAATTTATTAGACTAGCAGTAACCAGTGAGTTGAATCAGTTGCTTTTCTCAGTGACAAAGACCCCAAGGTAATTAGTTAGTTTTGGGAAATTCAAGAGAACAAAGGACATAGTTGGATAGGTAAGGAAAGACAGTTAGGGTAGATAGTCATAGGTGTTGGGACAGCATGATTGGTTACATCAAGGAAACTGGTGCTAGTAACTCCTCTCAGCATATTGTAGACATTGTGAGTGGACCTGAATTAGCAGATTCTCCAGAAAGCTTTGTTAGGAAGATAATGGTTTTCCTTGGTGGTGCAGAGACACTTCAGGGGCACTGTATCTCTTAGAACTTCCTTCAAGACAACTTGGTTCGAGATAACACCTGACGTTTTAGTATTTTCCTAGTGTTTCCCATTAATTGTAACTTTAATCTGAGAGGGAAAGTTGAGTTCTCAGGCTCAATTCAAGGACAAAGAAAGGTGGCTAGATAGTCTAATTGATAAATGAATAATAATCTCTTATACAATATATCCTACTTTTGGTTGGAGAAAAGTTATTTTTACCAAAATTTTTGGCACTGTCAGATTGTTAAACATTAGAAACTGACAAGTTTTTTTGTGTTTATCAGTAGAAAGACATTAAAGAATAGGCATTGCCATCTGTTTTCCTGTTGCACCCTAAGGACTGTGGGACTTTTCAATCTGACTTGGAACTGAAGTCTTACACATACATATATATATATATATTATATATATATATATATATATATATATATTATACATATGTAATATCTATTTGTATCCCTAGTGCTTTGCACATTTGGCAAGTATTTAACAAATATGTCCATTCATTCAATTATTCATCACCTTGAACCTGTAAACTTCAAGGAGTTCAAACACCATCTGTCCTGCCCAAGCAACCCAGGGGTGAGAACAGAAGTGGAAAAGGACACAGAAGACCATGTAGCTCTCTGAATTTTGATCAAGGAGCTGGATGGATGAAGGGAGGAATAAAAAACTAGGCTTCTTAGCCACCCAGTACCCTGATCCAGGACAGCCTGCTACATCTAAGAGTAGACACACCAAGTGAAAGAGAAGCAACATCAGATAGTCAAGTTAACAAGCATTTATTAAGCACTTTCCATGTGTCAGGTATTGTATTGGGAGACACATAGCCACCATCCCAAAATCAAGAAATTGCCATTCTAACAAGGAAACTATATTTGAGATATATAACAATGTAAAAAAGGGAATAATTTCAAAAAGGAAGGTATTAGTAGTGGGGGATGGAGAGCGAAGGAGGAGAGACCAGGAAAGGCTTCAGGTAGTAGATGGAATTTGAGGTAAGACTTAAAATTAAGTCAAAATTTTATTTATATGTTTGTAAATATCCATGTACTGCATTTAAGTTGTCAGTTGTGTTAGTATTTATCAGTCAGACTTTTCCTGACCCCATAGAATATGGCCCTTCTGTCATCCATTATCTCTCAAACTCTATCCAAGTTTATGTTCGTTGTTTGCATGGCACTATTCTAACCAGCTTCAGTATTTGCCTTCCAGTGAATAGCCAGAATTAGTTAATTTAAGTGTTGAATGATTTGGTTTCCTTGTTGTCCAAGGGACTCTGGAAAGTCTTCTCCAGTACCAAAATCTGAAAGTGTTGATTTTGTGGAGCACAGCTTTCTTTATAGTTCCAATTCTCACATTGCTCCTGGAAAAACCATAGTTTTCACTATATGGAAGGGTCAGCAGGGTAATGCCTCTGCTTTTCAGCCTGCTGCCTAGATGTGCCTTTCTTTCCAAGGAGCAGTCTCTTTTAATTTCATGGCTGATGTCACCATGTGCAGAGATTTGAGCCCAAGACCATAAATCTGACACTACTTCCATTTATTCTCCCTCTATTTGTCAGGAAGTGATGGCCAAGCAATCA